TTATTAAAATCTTCTAGGTCTCTAAAGCCTAATCCCCCTTCCATTTTACCTCTTGTGAGTTGATCCCAGTTTTTCCAGTAAATTCCCTTTTCCCCTGTTGTTTTGTTCCACCAAAATCTCTTGATGCTTGCATTGATCTCTTGACAGAAGGTCTTTGGAAATTTAAAAATTGTCATAGCGTATGCTGGGATGGCTTGCACTACAGACTTGATTAACACTTCTTTGCCAGCTTGGTTCAAGAGGCACTCTTTCCATCCTGCAATTTTGGGAAGCACTCGCTCCTTAATCCATGCCAATGTTTGTCTTTTCGATCTTCCCCACTCCATTGGAAGGCCCAAGTATTTCCCTGCTTGTTGTGATCGTGTAATTCTGAGGAGCTGTGCTAGTTCCTGCTGGAGAGGCGGCGGTGTGTTGCGGCTAAAGAAAATATTGGATTTGTTAAGGTTAATTTGCTGACCTGTTGCGTAGCAGTATCTATTCAAGATGTCCATAAATGCTTGACAGTTCGCTTTAGAGGCCATGGTGAAAAAAATAGAGTCGTCAGCGAAAAGCAAGTGAGATACAATAGGGCCTGACCTGCTGAGTTTGATTCCCTTCAGAGATCCTCCCTCCATTGCTTGATTGATCAGAAGAGTTAGGCATTCGGTGATGAGAGTGGGTCCCCCTGTCTAATTCCCCGGGAGGGAGTAATCCTGACTGCTCTGTTTCCATTCACCATGATATTGCATCTAACAGTCTCAATGCATTGCATTATCATTCTTACCCATTTCCTGTGAAAACCCATCTTCAACATGAGATCTTTCAGGAAGTCCCACTCTACTCTGTCATACGCCTTGGCCATATCCAGTTTGATTGCCATCTGATACTTCCATGTCTTCCTTCTCTGCCTCATGGAATGCATCACCTCCTGAACAACTATTATGTTGTCTTGGATTTGTCTCCCCCCAATGAAAGCGCTCTGGTTATGAGTTGAGGTGGTTTATAGCAGGTCAGCTACCATAACAGCAGCAAATTCTTACCATGTACCTTGTTGAAATATTGGTGTTCTTTGTTTGGACCACCCTTGCTTCATTGCTCCGACCATGGAAGGGTAAATATCATTTAGTCCTTAAATTTTATTTTTGACGTTAAAATGGTTCTTAAACTTTAATTGTTTTAATTTAATCTATTAATTATCAATTTTATTTCTTTCGTCAATTTCAGCGGTTAGAACAAACGGCGACACATGCAGTGGACAATTACATGACAAACACATGGTTAATATTTGTTTTTCTAACAGTTAAAATTGCCGAAATGATTTAATTGACATGGAATTTATAGTTGGAAGAGTAAATTAAAATATTTGAAATTTCAAGGACAGTTTTAAAATAAGATATAAAGTTTGAGGACTAATTATAATATTTATCCAACCGTGAACAACATACCTTGCTATTTATGAGCAATTATTCTCCTGTTATAAGTCCTTGCATAGTGGTGTAAGGGTATCAATTGAGTCGGGTGATGCCATTTTCTATTTGAATTGTGTTGTTTTGAAGCCTTTTTTTATACCATATTTGCGTTGTGTTCTTGTATACGTAAACTAAAACAATACATGAATAAGACTTACTCTCATTCATCTCACATAGATCACTCATATTTTAGAAATCTACTTGATGTTCCCCCTCTCTCTCTCTCTCTCTCTCTTGGATGTGTTCATGGAAGCTATCAAGGTAATGTATTTGCTGATAGTAGTCCTATAAAAGGAAAGATGCAATCCAATGTTACACTACCTTGCTTCCTTTTCAACTATTCAAGCTTCTACAATGGACAGCTCAAAGCTAATGGCTAAGTGATTCCTAAAGTCAATGATGTACTTAGGCCTGCGGAACCAAGGCCTACACACCTACATGACGCAAACTGGCCCATTCAGCTTCAAATGAGAGTTGCGTACCAGCTTTTCGTATACACTCAACTCAATAAAATTTTAATCCTAATTAGAGGGTGATTACATGAATCATGTTTTTGCATTACACTGTATCATGGGACATATAGTCTGTTATACCATAAGTCATCTTTATTTTTTTAGAATATTTTGTTCAAATCGAATACCGAGGCGCTTTATGCTCTATATTTTTGAATTTGAATTTAGGTTACTCAAATTATATAAAAATTTAGCTTCAATTCTCAATTACAAATCCAATTCAATTATGAGTTTAAATTAGGTGTAGTTTAAGTTTGATTATCCACAGTGAGAGTTTGCAGTTCTATGTGGTCAAGTCAAGGAATGAGCAACTTATAGGTTGGATTAAGATGACTTGGTGTTATGTATGAGTATAGTATTATCTTATTGAATATTTATAGGTGTGTGGAGCAGTAAAAAAAAAAAGACTACTGTTGAGTTAGTATCGATATATTAGAGTGGACGTCGGCTACGAAAACATTTTGAAATGTTACGATTTCACGTCAATTAAAAATAAGACTAAATTTATGTGTATAAACTCTTTGATGCCCTTTCCTTACGAGCCAATTTTTTGGAGAAAATTCTACCCATTGATTCACAACATATGAGAAAATGAAAATGAAGTTCATAAAAAACAAGATGCATCGCCTCTGCTAGAATTAGCATACGTGGTGTGGTGGACAAAGAGAAAAGAGAGAGGAGCTGACCATGAAGAAGAATTAAGTGGGAGAGAAAAGGGGGAAGGAAGACAATTTGACGAAAGAGAATTTGATTGAAATTTCAATATTTTTGCAATATCTTTTTATTGAATTTTGATAATTTTTTGGATTCATGTCACAAAAAGTTTATCCCTCATAAATTTTTCTAGTCTTAATGTTAAAATCGAAGAGATGATTAATTGAGGTACAAATAAATTAATCTAGATATTCTTGATCATTAAAAAAAAAATTCAATGAGAGCAGACTAACCAATAACTATCTACCCATTTCGTGCAGCATGCAAGTCTGATGCACGATTTTTATCTCATTTGTCGAAGAAAATTCTTGATTTTTTTATTATTTTTTTATAGGCAATTATTTTTTAAACTAAAGGGAGGAGAGTCGGGGAGGAAAATCAAATCTTCAATGTCTCGTTTCATTGCAAGAGACTTTAACTATTCGGATAAGACTTCATTAAAATCTTATTCAACAACAAATGTAATGGTCCATCGGAAAATTAATCAAAGGTAAGGCCAAATGGTAGGAGTTAGGTACCATCAACCATGGGAAAGCATCACAATCAGTTGTGGGGGGTGAGAATGCCATTTCAAACCCGGTGGAAATTAAGGAAAAAAAAAACGAAAAATATAAGGATTATCCTATCCAATGCACGCCATTCAACACACGAGGACGTCAGTCCTTACTTAATTACTCCAAAAAGAGCTTCCTCCTTGTCCTGACCAAAGCAAGTACCAGGTGTGTACACGTCCACTGTAGCTGATGTACTCCATTGACCGTCAATGCTTTTGATTACAACCAGGCATGTTAGACATTGTCGGGTTAGTCAGCTTCGCATCGAATTTAACCAACTTATGTTAAAAAATATTTTTTTGTATTTAATTTATTTATTACTTTATATTTAACGAATTATGTCATATCAAATTCGTTTTATATATATTTTTTAATTAATTTTATTTATACTTGATTTATTTATTATTCTTATCGTGTTGTTATTTATTTCTACGTGTTTATGAAACGAATAATTTAAAAAAAACTCAAACGAATAAATTATTATACATATTTATAAAACATAGAAATCAGGTTATTTTGTGTTGAATAGATATACATAATTGGAAAATTGATTGTTAAAAACAATACCACCATCATTAAGGACCTCCATAAAACATTTTATAGTACTACATACATGATTGCAGCTTGTGATTGAGTTGTTATTGGCAATACTATTTTGTGCATAATGTCAAAGAAAATGCTTATCCATTCAAGATAAGATATCTACAAAAATTTATTAATGATGACATAACATATATTTTTTTTAAAATATTAAAAAATTTAATGTCAGCATGGAAGGCACACATTGTGTTACAAGATGGTGTAATAATAGAGATAGAGGTGTTATTGTTCAAAATTTTGAGAGTAAGAGTGACAGAAATCCATCTTATTATTTCAATGAATTTTGATATATTAATGTTAATGCAAAATTAATATAGGACAACACGATTGTATTAGAAATCGCTCCTTAAAAATCACACCATTGAATTTTGCCTAAATTTAGGAATTAAATTCAAATTCTTAAGAATTAGATGAAGCATGGAATAAATTCATAGTCAATTTAGAGTAAGAAAAGGTAATGATAAAAGTTTGTTGTTCGTCTTTATTAGTAGAAACTAATTTATCAGTTGTGAATGTCATATGAATTTAATTAGTTATCTAAGAAAGTATGTTATGTTTTATAAAAATCCTAAATTCCCCTTTCCATTCTATCTTTTTTCGTACCCAAAATTTATTATTTATTTCGCCAAAAATGCTATTAGGACTTATTTTGATGATTTAATTTAGGGATAATTAGGTCGGGCATATTCAGATTAGCTCCCTATAGTATGGGTAATTCTTTATGCATCAAATTTGTGTACTAAAACTTGCACCAAATTAATTACAATCTTTGAATCAGCAATAAGACTCATTGATTTGACGACTACTACAAGTGTGATTTGGTGGACAAATTTGGTGTATATAGTATTAGTCGTTGTAATCGTTAGATCTCTAATAAAACCCACTAATCAAAGTAATTTGGTGCAAGTTTTGGTACACATTAGACCAAAAAATATTGCTCTTTTTCGCTACCCCACAGATCCGCATGTCATCCTTAAGCCCCGGCCGTTCAATAACCGTGAACCTTTATTCATTCAAATGGACAGCTCATTCAACGCACCAGGTATGAGGGTTCACAGTAACAACATGAACCCAATCACATCCTAGTAATCCCTCTTATCCTCGGACTTGCTCTCACCTATAAATAAATCCGCACTCTCTCGCAACTCCCAAACACTTCCGAGTTCCGAAAGCTGTGACTCTTTTTTTCTTTCTCTTTCATTATTTAATTCTCCGGCGAGAACTGTAGAGTTTCGGAGAGCCGGTGACCACCATGGGGTCGGCATTGCTATCAGATCTGGCTACGGAGATCATTATTCCGGTGTGTGCTTTGATTGGGATCCTGTTCTCACTGGTCCAGTGGTTCCTCGTCTCACAGGTGAAACTCTCACCGGAACGAAATGGCTTGTCGCCGAAGAACAACAAGAATGGATACAACGATTACTTGATTGAAGAGGAGGAAGGTATAAACGACCATAGCATCGTCGCTAAGTGCGCCGAGATTCAGAATGCTATCTCTGAAGGTTAGACTCACACTCCTACTAGATCCCTCAAAATTCGTGGCGGATCTGACATTGTTTGTCTTTGCTTGTTTTTAAGTGTATATCCATCAGTTCATGTAGATCTGTGTTTGGTTCTGGAAAAAAAGTTCGACCGTTGAGAAGAAAAAAATAATTTAAATGTTGACTTCTGATATTTAATAGTTTGATCAGTTTTATAATAAAGATCAAATCTTTAGCTTAGTAACAGGGATGAGCTGGGAACCTGATGTGAACAGTTTCATTATTGGCAAGGTCACGAGGGATAATTCTCTTGTGTATTTCCATCCGACCGGAGAAGAAATTAGTCGAGGCAGCTCCTCACCGTAAACAAAAAAAAATCTTTAGTTTATGTTTGGTTACTGAGAAAAAGTAGGGGAAATGAAACGACTCATATGAACTAAGTCTGTTGTTTTTATGTTTGATACAGTTTTTAATTTTTTTTTCAAACAAACATTAATAAAAAGTAAGTTGCTTTAAAATTTGACATTTTCTTCCTTCCTTTTTCCTTGCATTTTCTTGTCGGCGACATTTGGATAGTTAGGGTTTTACATGAGAGACTCAAGAACTTTTGTTTAATGAGGTTGGAGTGGGCCACAGATAAGTTAGCTGTTTTCGATACGATAGATCTGCTTTATTACTTTTGTTCAAAGGTCTTTTTTTTTATAATACTATATATAATTTATTGGTTTTTTTTATTGTTACCTGGATACTGGGAAGATTTTCATTATTATTAAAAAAGCATTATTAGCACTGGGCTATGGGTATAACCGGGGGTTAATCTCCTCTGTCGTATCTAAATAAAGTGCCCTTGCTTTTTATGATGGTGATTGATGATTAATGGTTCATTGGTTCTAGCACATTTGCTATTGCTTTTGTTAACTTGTTTTGGGAGTGTGGTCACTTCCTGATCTATTACATATGAGGGATATAAATCAATAGCACCGGAAGTTAATTTTCTGTACTATATCAAAAAATGTATCCAAGTCGTTTTTTTTTGGTTTGAGAACATTAGTCATGAAAATAATACGACAGAAGGAGACAACAAAATAATTAAGTGACACATTGCGATTGGACAAAAAAGGGGGTGCTGCAATTGGACATGGCAATTAAGTTGTTCAGTAGTATCAACTATGGATTGTGACTACTGCTGGTAATAATATGTGGTGGACCTGGGCATTTGCCTTTTTGGGCCAAAGCGTGGACGCTTTTGTTTGTTGGTTTCCTGTAAGATATGCTGGAATATTCTTCCCAGTTGTTGGGTCCACTAGTTTTCTTAGAAACATTGCCCCCGTGAATTGCACACCTTTCTTTATAAACTTCCAATTCTCCCTTTTCTTCGGATAGAAGGAAAGGGGTGGGGCCGTGGGGGAAGTTGAAGTAGTTCCTTCTTATGCACTGTTTGTGGCATGAAGCAAGTTGAATCATATGAATAGAACTTTATTACTAATGAGGTAGAAGGGGCACAATTGCAGTGATAATTTCGAATTGAAGAAAAGAATAAATACATAGATATTTTCAACTGGTGTACATTAACGTTGTTGTCCTGTTTTTTATTATTATCTTTTGGCTTACATGGTTGACCATCTTGCTTTTCCATTTATAAAGGTTTTGTAATTTTATCCAAATTTTATATGCTAATAATACTTGCTGTTTCTGGAAGTGTGCAAAATGCATGTGAATGATAAAGGAGATCTGAGGGAATCATTGTGTTGATAAATATTGTTGATTTGTATTATTATTGATTTGAATCTAAAACCCTTGATTCTCCTTTTCTATTGTTTATTGTTTTATTGAAAAAAGTGATCAATTAGTTTGCTATTTGATTATTTTAATCAAGTCTATGTGAATAAAGTCCTTGCTTTCCTTTTTTAATATATCAATGTCTTATATTTTGCCAGATAGAAAAAGTGTTATGGTAATAATTAACAAAAAAACCTGGGAGGTGATGCAATTTGTTTAGAAGTAATTTTTTGCTCCAGCTAGTTTGGCATCTCTTATTTGGGAACATCATGACCCCGAATGTGTTTTTTTATCAAGTTCTTAAAACACTCTTCTTGATCAACACCTAGTTTTCCTATGTTTTGCAAGTTTGCACTTTTTTTTAAAACATCAAATAATGTCATGTTTTTTAAATAACACATTTGATGGACATCTGCTGCCCCTGAACCACCTGCTATCTGCTTGAGCTGTACTAGCATCACCCCGGAAGGGAAAGGTGCAGGCATGCAGCGTCTACATCCTGTCCCAATTATGCATGAGGGTGGGTGTATAAGTGATTCATTACATATTTTGAATTCTTTTGCTCTCACTGTTATTGCTCTACTCCACACCCTTTATGATTGCACACTGATGAATTGTAGGTATATTGCATGGTAAGTGTTATATATTGTTTGCATCAGTGCTGATTTTTAAATCAGATTATTGTGCTAGACGTCTTTTGTCTTCGCGTTCGATTAGTTTTGTTGTTTGTGCATTAAAATGATCCCTTTCTTTCTCAATGTATACAGTATAAAAGTGGTGAATTGTTATGCAATTCATCTCATTATTTTGTTCTTACTATTATTTATAGTACGACTATTATGTGTTTTAGTTATATGCACCTCTTTATGCTAATTTTTAAATTGGTGTTTTGTAACAGGTGCTACATCCTTTTTATTTACTGAATATAAGTATGTGGGGGCTTTCATGATTGCATTTGCAATTCTGATCTTCCTCTTCCTTGGCTCTGTTGACAACTTTAGCACAGAGAGCCATCCCTGTACTTACAACAAGAGTAGAATGTGCAAGCCAGCACTTGCCACTGCTCTTTGCAGCACTGTGTCCTTCGTGCTTGGTGCTATTACCTCAGTTCTGTCTGGTTTTCTTGGGATGAAGATTGCTACATATGCAAATGCAAGGACAACCTTAGAAGCAAGAAAAGGTGTTGGAAAGGCTTTCATTGTTGCCTTCAGATCTGGTGCAGTGATGGGGTTTCTCCTTGCTGCAAATGGCCTTTTGTTTCTTTACATTGCCATCAATCTCTTCAAGTTGTACTACGGTGATGACTGGGAAGGACTTTTTGAATCAATCACTGGTTATGGCCTTGGTGGTTCCTCCATGGCTCTGTTTGGAAGAGTTGGTGGGGGCATCTATACAAAGGCTGCTGATGTTGGTGCTGACCTTGTAGGAAAAGTGGAAAGGAACATTCCAGAAGATGACCCTAGAAATCCAGCTGTAAGCTGTATTGCTTTCCTAAAATCAAAATACTTGGCATTTCCTCCAGGGAAGCTTGCAATAATTTTGCTTTATTGTTACTTTTGCAGGTGATTGCTGACAATGTCGGTGATAATGTTGGGGATATTGCTGGGATGGGATCTGATCTTTTTGGCTCATATGCTGAATCGTCTTGTGCTGCACTTGTTGTTGCTTCTATCTCGTCTTTTGGAATAAATCACGACTTTACTGCAATGTGTTATCCTTTGATCATTAGTTCAGTGGGAATACTTGTTTGTGTGATCACCACCCTCTTTGCTACTGACTTTTTTGAAATCAAGGCTGTCAAGGAAATCGAACCAGCACTGAAAAAGCAGCTCATTATCTCCACTGTTCTAATGACTCTGGGGGTTGCACTTGTTAGCTGGATTGCCCTGCCGTCATCTTTCACAATCTATAACTTTGGTGCTCAAAAACTTGTGAAGAATTGGTACACTTCGCATTTTTTGGACAAAAGTTCGCATTTTCTCATCCTCAACTTTTTGATGAAAATAGGTATCTAGGTTGTAGAGGTGTTTATATATTTATAATATATGTTGTATTAGTCAGACTCTAAAAGAACTTACTTTTAGTTGGGTTAGGCACTACATACCTTTTTTTTGGGGGGAAAGTATCACTACAGACCTTCATTGGCTATAATTTAGCTTTTCAGACAGTCTTCTAGGCTACCAATTTTTTTGTGTGAACAAGCTATTTAGCAGTTATATATGTCGTATGGTCTGATAAGTAAATATAATTGCATGTATATATGTTGGTGTAATGGGGCACCATATTTTGGTTTTCAACAGTGAATGTCCCTTCAAGGAACATACAACTTTGAATTTTTTACAGTCAATTCATTAGTATTTGGACTTGATCTCCTGTTTTGAATGCTTATGGACATTGCTGTCAGATGCAAAATGCTCTTGTTCTTGTCTTTAATATTGCTGCATGACATAATAACACAAACTTTTGCAGAATCAAATCCATAAATAGTCTAATGGGATTCAGTTCTTTGAACCACCTTTTTTTTCGAAGTTGTCAAGGATTTGTGAGAAAAGAGTAAACATTTATATTTGTGAACCTAAATTAGTTGGCTATCTTGCTCACTTCTTGTTGTTTTGTAATCTCTCTCTGTCTTTTCTTTTCTTTTTTTAACTTTGGTGGTTGAATACATATAATGCAGCTTTTGCACATTTTGTGTCATTAAGAAGTTTAGATATACAATGCTCTGATAAAAGTAGTGTAGCTAAGCAGTTACTTACACAAGTTGGGTTTTCAGGCAGTTGTTCTTGTGTGTGGGTGTTGGTCTTTGGGCTGGACTTATTATCGGGTTTGTGACCGAGTATTACACCAGCAATGCTTACAGGTACTTCTCATGGTAACTTCACTAGATTCCTTCCATATTATGGTGATAACTTTCCTGGACGAATCCTTACATTTTGCTTCTAAATCCTCCCTATGCAGCCCCGTGCAAGATGTCGCTGATTCCTGCAGGACTGGAGCTGCCACTAATGTTATCTTTGGCCTTGCATTGGGATACAAATCTGTCATCATCCCTATTTTTGCCATTGCAATAAGTATTTTTGTTAGCTTCAGCTTTGCTGGCATGTATGGTATTGCTATGGCTGCTCTTGGAATGCTTAGCACCATCGCCACTGGATTGGCCATTGATGCTTATGGTCCCATCAGTGATAATGCTGGAGGCATTGCTGAGATGGCTGGTATGAGTCACACAATCCGTGAGAGAACTGATGCCCTTGATGCTGCTGGAAACACCACAGCCGCTATTGGCAAGGTAATATGATATTCTGTTGGGCTACATTTGTTGATGTGGTCTTTATTTAAGCATGCATAGGCATATATAGTACTGATGCATGTGAACATGAAGCTCAGTATGTGAGTTCATAAATAATTGTTTCCTTGCTGGTTCATCAGTTATATTATTTCTAATTTCGTAAGCCCTGTTTTTTTTGGTCATTATGTGGTAAACCCTGTTACACCCACATGGCATTTCTTGCTCTGTATATCTACACTGGATGTTGATGGGACTCGTTTTTCTATCACAGTTTCTAAGAATTGGGGATAAAGAACCTTTTGCTAATATTAGTTTTGGTTGAAATAAACAGTAATTTGAGCTGCTTTTTAATTGTGGCAGTTTGCTGCCTTATGAAGTTTTGAGTTGCATTTGTTTCATCTTGCCATGCTCTGCTGGTTTCCATTGTAATTGAATTTCTGTTTTGCATTTGTTTGTAGGGATTTGCCATTGGATCTGCCGCCCTGGTTTCATTGGCATTATTTGGCGCTTTTGTGAGTCGTGCCGGAATTTCAACCGTTGATGTGTTGACCCCAAAGGTTTTCATTGGTTTGATTGTCGGTGCCATGCTTCCTTACTGGTTCTCTGCCATGACCATGAAGAGTGTGGGTAGTGCTGCTTTGAAGATGGTTGAGGAAGTTCGCAGGCAGTTTAATACCATTCCTGGTCTCATGGAGGGCCTTGCCAAGCCTGACTACGCCACTTGTGTAAAGATCTCTACTGATGCATCAATCAGGGAGATGATTCCCCCCGGTGCCCTCGTCATGCTTACACCTCTAATTGTAGGAACATTTTTTGGGGTCGAGACTCTATCTGGCATTCTTGCTGGCTCTCTCGTTTCTGGTGTGCAGGTAATATTTAAAACCAAAACTAGTGGTCAATGAACAGGATATTTTACTTTCTACCTATAATTGTTCATGGACTATGGATACTTTTTATTCAAAAAGATGTTACCAATTATGGGAGTATTCAACATTTTCTTTTATGTTCACCATTGAAATCTGTTCTCAATAGTTGCTGTTTCATGCCATATATGCTAACAGATAGCAATATCTGCATCCAATACCGGTGGAGCATGGGACAATGCTAAGAAGTATATTGAGGTAATCATCTTTCTGGAGATTGTCTAGATGGGTTTTTTTTTTTTTTTTAAGATGTCCATAGTTTTCTTTTGTTGAATTTTTGGCAGGCTGGTGCATCGGAGCATGCTAGGACCCTTGGGCCAAAGGGATCTGAACCACACAAGGCAGCTGTGATTGGTGACACCATTGGAGACCCACTCAAGGACACTTCAGGCCCATCGCTCAACATTCTTATTAAGCTCATGGCAGTTGAATCACTTGTTTTTGCTCCCTTCTTTGCCACCCACGGTGGCTTGCTTTTTAAGATCTTTTAAGATCGAAGGAGGGATGATGAGAAACATGTGGGGGAAGAGGTTGTCGATCAATCTCTTTTTCCCTTGTAGCTTTATCTCTTTGGCCTTGGTTATCTTCTCCACATCTTCCCAATCTTTCTCTGCATCCATTTTCTTCCCGAGTTTGGGATTTTTAAAGTTAGTCCTTAGTCAATATCATTTTTGATTAACTCGTGATGACGATGACAGTTGTGGTGGCAAGGATGATGATGAAAATTGTCCTTCTTCGCGAAGGAGATTTACGGATTAATTCTTTTGTACTTTGTAGAATTGCCACTTGCCTTATTTTCTTTGTAGAACTGCTTTTCCATTAAATCTAGGAGAGCATGGACAAAATGTTGCGTAATTTTGTTGGTTTTCTTGTGATGCGCTTGAATGATTGGCTGCTTGAATGATTGGCTTCTGTGCTTTCGCTTGCATTCTTGTTTTTTGAGAACAATATTTCTATTTTATATCACTAGTTAGTACATGTGCGTTGCACATGAACTGAACCATTTTGAGCAGAAGTTTGGGAAGATTTCAAGAGGAAAGTAATTGGGATATTTCACTGGAGCAAGATGAGTCGTTAGTAATTGCATAAAGCAGAATGGGAAGTGAAATCTCTTAAGCACTGCAGTCTCTGCTCCTTGTGAATCCCTTCAAATGCAATTTGAGACGACTCATGTTACTGAGTTACCATGTGATAGTTTTGGTGTTAATAGAACTACTTGATGTCTAGCTCATATAAAACCCCTAGGGTAACATTGTTGACTTTGACATTCTCGACTGCGGGGAAAGGCATTAGTTCTTAGCATTTTTGGGGTCGTGGTTTCATCATTCAGACAACTTACTCTTTCTGCACCCTAAGGAAAGATTATAATCATGGTTATGAATGAAAAACATGTTCATCCTAACATAAGTCAAATTTTCAAAAGATCACTTCAATTAAACAAGAAAAGGGTTTTTTCTTATGCATAAAAATCACCTCCACCGCTAGGATTTGCCAAAATTAATAAAATAAAATTATCCGAAACCCACAATCATAAGCTCCAAAAAATTGTGTAGTTTAGTACCTAAAAAAAAGGAAAAAAAAAAAAACAAACAAACAAACAAACCCTGTCTATTTAGCAAGGTTTTGTGCCAACCTATGGCTTTTTTTTTTTTGCTCTAGAAGCATTGATTCTATAAGAGAAATCCATTATTCATAAAGATACCCAACCAAGCCCAAGCTTTCCATTTTTTTTTAGTGAAAATTGGGGGTGAGTCCTCCTATATGTACTTGTTTGGAGATAAGTCCAGCAAAAAAATTTATAGGGAGTTAAATCCATATTTAAAATTATATATACTAACCTAAGTCCACTTTTTTTTTTTATCTCAAAAATATCCCTAACGGTTTTAACTTTGGTCATTTATGGAAAGACATAAGTTAAATGTTTGAGATATATGTGGTAACAAACTGATCAATTTTTTTATGGAAACTGTATATATCAAAATATTATGTTTCAATTACATTAAAATTAGTGGTCTATTAATTCAATTTCGGATCAGAAGATTCCATTAAAAATTCAAAATCTGAATCAAGCATACCATTCGTATGTCTGTAACAAACTTTTGTTTTTTATTGAATTTAGAGTTGATTATTTTTTCGGGCTAAATAAAGGTAAAAATCTGAACGTTTTTGAATTTTTCCTCCAGGAAACCTGTTGTATTCTTCTTCTTCATAACATACCGCTACTTCATTTTTATTTTACAAGAGTGTCGAAGGTGATAGTAACAGTGACGGGAGTTCGAATTTTTATGTGATTTTAGTTCAACCTACTAGTTCTTGATTTTCAGATGTATTTTCACTTTAATTGGCTTTTTTTACGTAACGTGATTAACAATATTGTTTTGAAATTACCGTAAATTAGAAGTTATTTTTCCGGAATTTTGATGTTACTAACCAGAATTTGCATTTCAATGTTATTTACCGAAGTTATTTAATATTTTTTTGAAACTAGGTTTTAAGTTTTGTTTTTCATGTTACTGATAGTGTTGTATTAGAATTAGAATTAATTATTTTCATTTTTTCTTTGTTCTTTGCCGAAATTTAATGTTACTTATCGATGTTCGTATTGCGACATCATTCAACAGAGTTTTTTTTAAAAAAAATAAATTCTGAACGTTTTTGAATTTTTTCAGGAAACCTGTTGTGTTCTTCTTCTTCATAACATACCGATACTTCATTTTTATTTTACAGGAGTGTTGAAGGTGATAGCAGCAGCGACGAGAGTTCGAATTTTTATGTGATTTCAGTTCAACTTATTAGTTCTTGATTTTTAGATGTATTTTCACTTTAATTGACTTTTTTTATATATCGTGATTAACAGTGCGGTTTTAAAATTACCGTAAATTGGAAGTTACTTTGCCGGAATTTCGATGTTATTAACCGGAATTTGCATTTCAATGTTATTTACCGGAATTATTTAATTTTTTTTTTAAACTAGGTTATAAGTTTTGTTTTTCATGTTATTGGTAGTGCTGCATTAGAATTAGAATTAATTATTTTTGTTTTTTCTTTGTTCTTTGCCGAAATTCAATGTTACTTATCAGTGTTCGTATTGCAACATCATTCAACGGAGTTTTTTTTTTTTTAAATAAGATTTTAATTTTATTTTTTTCATAGTAACATTCATGTTACTGTGTTACTATAGTAACATTACTTTGTCAGTAACATCCACAGTACCCAATCACTTCCATAAATTGGAAATATGAAATCAATTTTTAATTTATCACACAATAACATGAACAGTTTCAATATACTCTAGAAACAATGATTTTCGAATTTATTGAACAACGAAGAAAGTAACAAAAAATTTACACATCTAATTATATAACACATTGATTAAGTAATAGTAACATGAACAGTTTCATCCCCAAGATTATATTGTGTACAGTAACATCGAATTTCGAAAAATAGATAGTAAAAAACCAAACAATTCAAAATTTGATGTTAATGTCATGAACTAATGGTAACACATTGTTAATGATTGATTTAGGATAGTCAACACATATCTCATCTTCACTAATAAATTTTTAAAATTTTTCTCACAGTAACATGAGCAATTCTAAAGAAACCACATAAATCAATTTTGAATGTATTACACAACGAAAAAAAACAAAATCGTAATCCCCAACTCTTTAATATAGTAACAAGAAATGACAATTTTATTTTAAAAAAAAAAAAATTTCAACAAGTATGAATTGTATAGCTTGTAAATCTTGTTTTAAAACCCTAAAACAAAAATCAAATATCATGTAAATTAACATACCAATCTATTATTTAAAGAATCCCAAAGCTTTTTGTGGAGAAGTCTTTAATGCCGAAACCAAATGTAATGTCACCAATGAAACTTGAGGAGTGATGCCGATTTTCGATTTTATGGTTTTGAACCAGTACAAATTTTGAAAATGGATAACATGGAAAGATGAATCAGACGCTCAAGAAGAACCCGAAGAATAGTTATTCCAGTCTAAACAAATTGTTTGAAAAGAAACAGGTTGAAGAAGCAAAGACAAGGATTGAGAGAGAGCCGATTTGGGCAATGGCGGTTTGACCCCAAATCAGTTTGGGTAATGACAGTTTCTGTTTTTTAGATAAGGAAGATGAGATAGATTTTGGTGGATTTTTAGCCAGGTTTGTGGCCTATAATGGAGGAGAAGTTTTCGGGTTCCTATTCGACAACGAAAAGTTTCTCCGTCTAGTGTAGAAACGGCAAGTTACAGACCGTTTATGGTTTTTCAAAAAATAAGGGTACAATAGTAAAATTGTCAAAAAGTGGACTTGAACCCAAACAAGTTTCCTTGTAGGACTTATTTCCAAACAAGTCCATCTACGGGACCGGCCTCCAAATTTATTTATTTTTTATTATTATTTTTTAATTTTTTTGGGTACGGGAAGTGAGATTTGAACCATTGATCTCAAGAAAACAAAGCTTTTACAAACCAAAGAGTAATAATGAATGGTAAAACTTGACATATTTTGAATCCTTAACAATTGCGAAAAAAAAAGGTTATAATTACATTAGAACTCCAATAAGGACAAAATAAAACAAGCAGCAATTGCATAGGCATCCATGCCACGAAGATTTGTCAAGCTCTTTGTGTGGATAAGCAGCAACTTAATGAGCATCAATGTCAACATTGCTCAATAATGAACAAAGGATTACTTCACCCATATATCAATTACCAACCTTATTAATAAGCAAACAAAATCAAGGAGAACAATATGAAAGAGGGTAGCAATCAATTTTGGGTTAATCGTTGTTTTACCTCGTGGTTTCCGCTAGAATCACTTGATCTATTTTACGTTTAAAATTATACACATTACTTATTTATAATTACTGATTATTGTCTGTGCATGAGGCACATAGTAATAAAAAATGATAAACAATAAATATATTTGTATTCATATCCAAAATCAAATCACAAATATAGATAAGAGATAAATGAATTTAAGCATCGGTTGCAGTGGAGGTGACGACGGCAGTGGTGGTGGCCGTGGCGATGGTGGTGGCGGCGGCGGCGATGGTAGATGTAGTAGTGGGGCGGTTTCAAACACAATTTTTTTTTGAAGTACTTATTAGAAATAAATTCTTATAAGTAATTTTAAAACATCACTCCAAACACACCCTTAGAGCTCTATTTTTCTTATTAAATTTAGTGTGTTAATATTAGCCGTTAGATTAACTTTAAAGTAAAATTTAAAACGATTTTAACCGCGAATAACAAAAGTCATTTTGTTTATCTTTTTAAATTTGAATTGTAAGCTACTTTATTATATAGATGTACTAAAGTGATGTAGTTGACATCATTAACGAAATTAAAAAATTACTTCAATACCCACATTTTAAAATCAGACGTTTTGTCTGATATATATTTGACTATAAAACTAATGGAACATGATAACAAACCAACACATTTCAATCAAACATGTCAATCTCTTTTTCTCTCGAGTAAGGTTTTGATCCGGGCCAAAAATCACTTATGTTTTTCTTACAATGTTTTTTGATCTAGGACCAATGCTCTACTCATTTAGGTATTATACCTTATATTATTAAGAGTATTTTAGTCAATTAGACAATGTTCTTTTGGAGAGAAACAATAAAAACAAAGCCCATAACATGTGTTTGGGCGTGTGGAGAATACTATATGTTAACTTAAATGATAAAAGTAACCATTTCACTTTGACCGTGCTTCAATGTAGCAATTTACTTGATTTCACAACTAGAGAAAAGGGACATTTAAGGTTGGAAATCAGAATTATGTTTGAGATGCTAAATAATTATTGATCATAGGTTTATACCTAATCAATTTTATGTCTCAGATTTTGCCTTAGTTAATTCATATTAGGTCATTCTCATGACTCAGACTATTAATGCTTAATAATTGTTGAGCAAAGGTTTATAGCTAATCAATTTTCTGTGTTAGATTATGTCTTAGTTAATGAATCAAACTATTGAATTAAAGGATTGAGGAAGACCTCCATCACTCTTTTCTTTTCTTCTACTTGGTATTAGGGTGAGGGGTGTTCCGACCAATTTATGTACACTTCGACTAATCTCGTTCTCATTCTAATCAAAAACAAATCATCCAAGCAGATTTATGAAGACTCTCATGACCTGATGCCAAAAGAGTTGTCAAGTTACAAATTCAAAATGTTTGAGGTTACATTCATTGGAAATTAGCCACGTTCTTGCCCAATTAATACCACATAAAATTAGGTATGTCAATTATATCGAGTGAGTTGAATGTCTTAACGGATTAGTGTGTAAAAGTATTACACTCGTATTCGATTTATTAATTTATATCTAATGAATCTTGTTAAATCGGATTCGTATTATGTATAATCGATACATAAACGAGTCATATTGTATATTTCTTTTAAGTGATCGACTTCACGCATACTTGATTTATTTGGTAATTGAGTCGTGTGAGATTTATCTGCTAATGAAATGAATGGTTTAAGTAAGACTTAAATTTTCTAATTTCGTGTGTGTCAATATCGGAGTAACAGGTCTCGTGATTATTGACACCCCAACATAAAAATATTGTGTCAAAATAAATTGGTAGTGTTAACGGACCGATACGCCATAACGATTGCAACTCTCACTTCCACTAAGCTAAGTGTAGCTGTTGGGATTGGGATTTAACGTGGTCCGACCTTTTTGGAGTGCCTGCCCCGGTTAGACTAGTAAGTAGTAATAGCAAATTAAAGAAAAAATTGGAAAAAGGTATACCAAATTAGACTTAATTACAAAAAAATATATAGAAAAAAATGTGAGGTAATTAAGTCCTTAATTTTAATACTTATTTGTATTTAAGTACATTATTTGAATTTTACTGATTTTTTTGTGATATTTTGCCTTCCATTAATCCATATGTATTTAATGTATCACTTTTCTTTGAAAAGTGGTGCATTAAACATCTCTTAATTTTTATGAGAGAACTTTAATACACACACACATATATATACATATGTTTATATATATAAATACATATATATATACTTGTTATAAAAACGTATATGTATATAAATTATATTTTAATGCACATTGATTCATGCGTTATATATATGTATGTATGTATATACTTGTTGTTAAATTTTTTATTTAAATTTTAAATTATTTTTTAATGTATTTTGATTCATGCATTTTTTTTTATAAAGTGATTTTATTTTCAAATTAATTTAATATCCGAATAGTGTAATAGTGTAACAATAACAGTGTAACAGTATAACAATAACAGTGTAACAAGCTATTTACACAAAATATTGTACTATTACATTTTGTCAAATATATAGTTTCATATAATTTCATTCAAAATAGTTCATCTCCGTTTTGAATTAGTTGCCACATACACAAAACTACTGAATACTATTTTTGTTACAGTATATTTGTTACACTGTCTTTGTTACAGTGTATTTGTTACATTATTACATTATTCGGATATTAAATTAATTTAAAAATAAAACCATTTTTCAAAAAAAAAAACTCTTAAATCAAGGTGTATAAAATATAATTTAAAAACAAAATTACTTTCAAAAAAAAAATACCCTTAAATTAAGGTGCATTAAAAATAATTCAAAATTTAGATAAGAGATTTAACAAGTATATATATATATACATATATATATATATATATATATATATATATATATATATATATTAACAAATACACATGAATCAAGATACATTAAATACGTATTTATATGTATTAACAAATACACATGAATCAAGGTGTATTAAAGATAAAAAATTTTGAATTAAATGACCCTAAAATGGATATTTATGTCTTTGTAACTCATATTTTGTTCTATGTACTTTTTGTCAAATAAATTTAATTAAGTGTACCGATTTCTAAAGAACCCCAAATTAAAAGGCCAGAATATGGGCTTGTTGGGCTAAGGTGTGCTATGGATATAGGCCATAAAAGTCAGTCGAGGCCCTTATGAGAACCCATAAGTGCCTTATGGTGTGCTCTGAAAATCATTCTCTGGTGTGCTCTGAAAATCATTCTCCGGCCCAAAAATTAAAATCACCCCCTGTTTGAGGGTTTCCCTCTCTCTCTCTCTCTCTCTCCTCCCGCGCTAACCTCAAAAAATAACTCGCTTTCGGAAAGATATTTAAAAAAAAAAAAAAAGGGAAAAGAGAACGAAAGATAAAAATGGCGGGCTAAGTAGATTCCACTCTCTTTTGAGTTTTCATTCAAATCTCTCTCTCTCTCTCTCTCTTTCTCTCTCTCTCACACACACACACACACACACACACAGTTGAATTAAGATGCAGGGCAGAGCAGACAACTCTGTTCGGAGGAAAATGGAGGAACTTAGATTGATATGCGACAGAGAAATTCCGATTCAGCAGCAGAGAATGGATTCCGCCATGGTCTCCTTTTCAAAATCGCTTGAATCTTCTAAGGCCAAAGCACAAGAAGCTGTTCAAAACCAAGGTAGTTTCCATTCAATTTTGAACGATTACTCTTTTTTCCTTGTTAAATTTAGGGTTTTATCGTGGTTTCTTATAATATGAGATAATTTACTGATTCGTGTGGAGCTAGGGTTTAGTGAGAGCTATATTCAATTGTGTGTGGGTCTGAATGTTTTAATAGTTGGTCTACTTTGTTGATGACAAAAACTAGGTTACTGTGGCATCTTCAGTGGTGAATTTACTATTTTATTTTGTAGAGGAAAGCTGCGAAAAATCTGAATTTTTTATTTTACATTTGCTATTACAGGGAAACTAGGGAAGCTAAAAGCTCACCTGAGAGATGCGGAGGATGATTTGGTGAAAGCTCTTGCAGGTATCTCTTGTTGTTGGTGTTGATTTGCATTTGGTGAAATTTGCTTATGGGACCTGAAATTTAGTCTTCATTGTTTTATTTGGGTTGGTACAAAATGTTGTGTGAAATGGATTCGTTTCGAAAGATGCAAGAATTTATCTCTGTCCAGCTTGCAGCAACTCTGCTTCTTTACTTTCCTCATATCTTTGGTACTTATTTGTTCCTTGCTTTTTTTTGATGCATCTGCAGTGAAAACCTGTAAAGAGGCAAAGCGGCTGGTCACAGTGGACTCCATAGCTGCGACAAAAACTAGAGTAGAAGAACTTAGAAGAATTGTGGAGGATCAAAGGGATAGGAAAGATAAATATGCTGCAATATTATCTCAACAATCTGAAGGTAATCTTTGTTCTTTCATGTGAGCTTGCCTTGACTTTGTCATTCAATGTAAGTATCACATGCAATCTTCTCAATTTTGGGAGCACTTTATTTAAATGAAATGCAAAAGGTACTACTTTCCGAAGTTATCTGGCCCATAACAATTTAGATAAGGAAAACATTGTACGTGTGAGAAATCAATAAAATATGCTGGCCCCAGCGTAGTTTTACTTTTAGAACTGTTAATTGGAATTTTTCCTGAATTACTCCAGTGAAATCATGTACATCTAGGGTGTTTAAAAAAAAATTGGCTATGTTCAGCTAGTAAAAAACTGCTAAAATAAAGTGATGCTAAGATTTAATGTATCTTTACCAGTGTTTTATTTCTTTTTTTCCCCTTCTCTTTTCTTGGAAGTTACTTTTACATATTTTGTTTCTTTCTTTCTCGCTCTCTTTTCTTAGAAGTTGGCCTTAGATGTCAGTTTTATGGTGTTGTTTATCTATCCATCCTCAGGATATTTATTAGATGATTTGCAGTTTTCTGTCCCAAGTATGTAATTTCCTTGTTTTCCGCTTGTTTTGTGCTCACTTTTTTCCTGCTTTTCTCTGTTCTAATCAAGCTTTGGTAGCATGTGAAGAAAAGCATGATGAGGGCACTGAACATAGAGAACAAATAGAAGAAGCCATATCGTGGTTCAATAAGAACCTTGGTTTCTGGATAGAATCTGGACATGGTACATAAATCCTAAACTCTCAGAATATTTTTTTCTTTTCTTTTGGTCAGGGGAGGTTTTTAGTTTTTTTTTTTTGTTTCTCTAGGTGTAAAATTTATATTCTCTAACATTAATGTGAAGAATCCTATTGAGCAATACTCCTTCACCATTCGGCATGAAAATGATATTTACACTTGTAAGAATATTTGTTTTATTAATTCATTGAATTTTAATCTTGAAAAACATTTTATAAGAGCTTTTGACTAAAATATTCTCAATTTTCAGTGCTCGACTGTGATCCACATCTTAATGACACTAAAGAGTTGATCAATGAGTTGAATAGAAGCAATGGACTATTCAAATTTGTCAGAAGTATGAGAGAGAAGTTTCAAGAATCGGCAGCATGTGGTATGACATTATGTCTTGCATTCCTCTCCTTTGTGTAATATTCTGTTGAAATTTGATAGATTTATGGAGGCATTGACCCTTGACGGGAGTGCTAATGAAATCAAACCAAAGGAGGTGCTTGACATGTCTATGTCCCACATACATGTGACATTTTCCCATAAATGTCATGTGCAATAATGGAAAAGGATTAGTAGTGTGTCTGTTCTTGATTCCCATAGGGTATGACTTTTGGTATTATTTCTAAGGAAGTGTCTTATGATTCTCCAGAAATTTTTCCTCCAGCTACATCTATTGATCAGGATTCTTCCATAATCTCTGTATCTGCCCCAGTTTCTTCAGTTTCGACTGACAGAAGTGAATCTCTAGCCAAGACAACAGAGCTTCAACTTGGAGAAAACAACAGAGCTTCCAGGAAAGTTAATCATGGCAGAGGTGGTAAACAAGCAATTCTGTCTCCCGGATCTGCTTCGTCACTTCGCCGATCCCCACGCTTTAAGGTATTGCCATAATGATAGCCTGCTTTCAGCCTGCATTGTCTTTAATTTTGGTCTGCAGAAGGCATCTGTGTGGAATGTAATCTCTTATGGAACTACATCAGGGAGGGATTGGAATTGACCATGATATAGTTTTGTAAAGTTTTTTCCCATTTGGTTTTGTCTAGAGAACTCCACCTGCATTGTTCTTCTAGCCTCAGACAACTTGTCCTACATGGAATTAACACTTGTGTCAAGTGGAGAGCCAGAGGAAAACTTACTGTCAGATCTTTATGAACACAGAAATGTTATTAGACAGTAAAGTATGCCCTCAGATTTATTTGATCATCTTGCATGTAAAAGGAAATGGAAAAGTTCATCCACATCTCCCTATTATTTGAAATTTCACTGCATATGTTTTCACTTGGTCTATGCCCCTCACTGTCATCACGCATTAGTAACAACTAAAAACATACTGACATGCTATTTTCACTAAAAGAAATAATAAAATTTGCCTATATTTTTTACCATGCACAATCCATCCTTTCCCCAAATTTGCCAAATGCATCCCCTCCCCACCCACCTGCAGCCCTCTTGCACCACCACCATCTACTGCCAATTAAAGCCCGTCTCTACCCATTATCTGCAGCCCTCTCACATTGCCACCAGCACCATCACAACCATCACAATTCAAACTAACTTAATGCATTCGAATCAAAATTAAAACCAAATACTATCAGATAAAAACCTAATTCAAAATCTGAAATAGAAATCAGACTCAATTGAATTTGGTTTTGAATTATGAGAGGGAGAATCATCACCCCGCCACTGCACACCTCCCCACAACTGTGCACCATCACTGTTCCCTCTGCACACGCCACTAGAACCCTACAGAGTTAAAACTAACTGAACAAATTGTATCAACCAAAAAATATTAAACAACCACCTGAAATGAAAATCAAAGTCAACTATTCAATCTGAAATGGAATTCCAATTCAAACTAACTCCACAAATTCAAACGAGAAACAGCATATTACTGCCATTTTATTACATTGAAGGCAAAAATTTAGATAAAAACTTCAAAATCTGGAATTGAAATTATAGCCAAGCAATTGCGATTTTGATCTAGAGTAAGACAGGGAGGTGGGGGGAACCATCACCCCACTACTGCACATCACCACACCTTACTGCACAACTTCACCATCGCTGTGTGCCATCACTCCACTATTTCGAACCACCACCACAAATTCATCTTCAGAGCCAATTCATCAAAATCAAATTTATCAAGAATATCAAAGAGAATATGAAGAACTCAATTTGGGAGAGTGGGGGGAAAGAGAGGAGGAAACAAAAGAAAGGGGCTAAGAAGGATTCGTTGGTTATTGAGCTCATTTGCCCAAGCCCACGCCTAAGTGGCTTCAAAGCTTTCTTCACCATCCAAATCCTTGTCTCTCTCTCTCTCTCTCTCTCTCTCTCTTGCTCACTCCCCGCTCTTCTTTCCAGCGGGATAATGGATTCATTGTGTGGTGGGACATTATTGGGGTAGTTGGTGGATGGGAGGGGAGGGCGTAGGAGTGGGCTTTGGGGTCTCTCTACTTGCACGTGTTGTGTAATATCCTAGGATATAAGTGAAATATATGTTTGGTAAGTTGATGAAGCAATTGTTTCCATGTATTCTAATCCAACATGGACAAGGGTGTCAGTCAAGTTGCAGTTAATAAAGAGAATGCCTTTGAATATATGGAATCTCTATGGGATCAGTGAGATTTCCCAGAGAACAATGAGAGTGTTGACTGATTATGTACCATCAATATTTCTGTTGTAGAGTGAAGCTATGAGGTTATGTTGTCTAATGCTGTGCCTGTATGTGTTTTTCATGCCTGCTTTTCTCTTAAACTGGTACGTGCATGACTTCTTTTTTAAACAGGGTGTGTGGTTCCTGTTATCACTGTATGGGTCAATTTGTGGAACTCAACCTACATCTTCATGCTCTGTATGTGCAACAAATACCACAATATCAAGAGAATTAGCATTGTTGGTGCCATTGGACTAGTATATGCTAAATGGGCGTTGGCTCCTCCAGCACAGCAGTGCTGTACTTGAAAGCTTTCTCATGCTAGGTGTTTGGTAGTCCTATTTTCCATTTCCCATTGACTATAATGTTAATGGGAATGAATTTGTTCCCATGGGGGTATCTGGCATAATTAGAGGGGCCTTTATAATTCACGGTGCCCAAATTTGATTGATCTATAAAGTTTCTTATCCGAGACCTTGAATAATTTGGCAGGTTAAGAAATGAAGATGAAGCTAAGGCTGTGCTGCCTGTTCATACGATCACCTGCTTTAGCATGCTTGCTTAGCCCTAATTCTTGACTTATGGAGTGTGTAAATGGTAGATATATGGCGAAGATCTTATTTTGCTTTCATCGATGTTTTCAAAAGTAGAGTTGGAGATCTCTAATTGTCAAAAGTGAGTATATTCAATTGACACAACAGCTTCGTGGTGTTTCTAAAATTGACATGTTATGTATTATTAGCATTTGGGCATGAAATGCCCGAGCAATAATTCTGTAAAGTGTATTATCAAATATTTTTCTGGGCCTATTTTGATGTAATTGTAATTGTTTGATTTTGCTTGTTATATATGAATGATGCCTATTTTTGGCAGAGGCCATAGATCGAGAAACTAATTTGTATTATAAGTTCTTCAACTGGGTCATTATCAGAGAACATAGTATTGCATTTGATATTATATTATTGAAAATTGTAACTTTTTCTCGTGGCAATTTACATGGTTTAAAAACAAAACACAAGTTGTGAGACGGACCATTGATAGATGTAGAGGTCGGTGTTAGAGGACAACGTGGTCTGTGTTTATTATCATCCCCTATCTCAATTACATGTTGTGGAAACAACTCGGGTAATTGAGATGTATATCATCTTTTTTTTTTCTATCTCAATCACATGGGATAAATTAACACCATTGTCTCTTCAAATTTAATGAACTTTACTACTTAATCATTTATTCCAAGGCTGTTGATGTCCGAAGAACTTTTATCCCGACCCATGTTTTTTTATAAAACTTCTACTCAAATGAGATTCCTTTTTAAACTATTTTTTAAACCCAGACACTTTTAAGAACGTTAGTTGGAATGACATTTTTATATCAAAAAGATATCATTTGGAATAACGTCACTTTAACTAACATTTTAGAAAAACTTTTATTTTTAAAAAGAAATATAAAAACGTTGGTCAGACCGACGTCTTTTTTAAAAAGTTTTTCTTAAAAATGTTGGTTAAACCAACGTTTTTATGCTTGTTTTTTATATAATTAAGAAGAATTATACTCTGACCTCCTAATATTTGTCACTTAATTACTCAGACCCATAATATTTAAAATATTATACATAGACCCCCTAAAATTTGTACGCACGTAACACTTAGACCCCTACTATAAATATATCTGTTAATAAATTATAACTAGACCCCCTAAAATTTGTATGTATATAATACTTAGATTTCTCTAGTTTAAAATGTTATAATTAGACAAAAAATACTCAAATCAAAGATAGAATAACAAATATTTTAAATTTTATAACCAAAATTAATGATCTATTGTATCATTTATTAAAATAATATCAAAAATAAACTATTTTCCCTTAACATTAAAATCGATATTTATAAATATAGTATTATAACAAACTAAGGGACCATACCTTTACATTCTAGATTAAACAACAAAAGACTATATATTATATACCATTTATATTCTATTTTTGATTAGAGTATTTTTTGTCTAAGTATAACATTTTAAACTTAAGAAATCTAAATATTATAAGCGTACAAATTTTAGGGGATTTAGGTATAATTTATTATAAGTGTTACGTGCGAACAAACCTTAGGGAGCAATGTATAATATTTCAAATGTCAAGTGATCTGCGTGATTAAGTGACAAATTTCAAGAGGTCAGAGTATAATTCTCCCTAATTATATTAAAAGCAAGCATGAAAATGTTGGTTTATTTTTAAGAAGTTGGATGCAACGTTCTTAAAAAAACATTGGTTTGACCAACGTTTTTGTTTGTTGAAGTGATGTTTTTAGAAAAACGTTATTCCAAATGACATATTTTTGGTATAAAAATATTATTTTAACTGATATTTTTAAAAGTGTTCGAGTTTAGAAAATAGTTTAAAAACATTTCTCTTTTAAATATAAGTTCAAAAAAAAGTACGAGTTAGAGTAAAAACTCGACGTCCGAGACGCGTGTTTAGTGGCCCCAATTCTTCAACACTTCCATGATACAACAGAGAGACTGTCAAAGCCTCACTTTACAATTGTAATGATAGTTACGTCATAATATGTTAAAGCCCAAATTTTGATTTTGGGCAACTACTCACCCCCCATTAAGTAATATTGGGTGTGCATGATGGTCTCAAAAACACCATATAATCTATTTTTTATTTTTATTTTTATTTTTATAGGAAGCACCATATAATCTATAGGGTTATGAATATAAACTTTTAAAGAAAAGATTAGTGAGGGGTTGTAAGGTTGAAAAAATTCTTATATTTGCACCAATTGTATGTATATTCCTCTTTCCTATACACCGTTTTAAGTCAATTTTAATAAATGTGTTCTTTGATTTGAGTCTCACTACCATTGCTCAATATCAAAAAACAAAAAGTAATTTATTATAACTAGTGGGTACTAAAATTTTTCAGATATAATATATATATATATATATATATATATATATTTTTTGGTCGAGGTCAAGATTTGAAAGGTTTTTGGTAACAAAAATCAAAATAAACTATGAATATTCTCCAAAAAATCAAAATACACGATAAACTTGTTTTAGACTTTTCAACTAATAACTAAAAATTCAAATAACTATTAGGGAAAAAATATATGATAACCTATAGTTTAATTGAAAACATTGTTCTTGATAGAATTTAATGGCGAAACAAGATTTATCTAACTAACTCTAAAAATATTGAAACAAGGTTTTGCAGTACGTTGATGGTGGGCTATATAGACAACGACCTTCGTGGCGAAGAACGTTTGGGCCAGCCCAAATGCTGATCCGAAATCATCAGAAAAGGGCATAGTTCATTTGCCTGGTGTTTACCGTTTTTCATGAATCCCAATTTCGGAGAGATGTTTGTTTGATTTGCTTTTCTCTCGACTTCTGGAGCAAAGTAAAGATCTTATTTGGCTATGGAGTATGCAAATGGTAGATATAAGGCGAAGATCTTATTTGCTTTCATCTATGATTTCAAAGTAGTAGAATTGGAGATCTCTAAATGTCAAAAGTGAG